ACACACACAAATCTATGGGATGAATTTATATTTGCAGATACATTCTATTTTGTTCAAAAAGCACAGTCAGTCAATGCAGCATTTTATAAATTCCTACCTTAGAAATAAAACCAGTCCGACTCCAAACCACACACAAACAGATTCTAAACAAGGCCTCACACCTAACATGCATTGTTTGACCTAAAATGTCACCTCTTCTTTACACTGATAAAACCTTTAGTTCTCTCAGGACAGTGACTTGAAAGAAATTTGGGGATTTACGTATACGAACGAATCAATTAAAACCTTCCAACTGATTAAAAATTTAATAGCATCTTAGGTTTGAATAATATATCTTCATCAGTGGTGCAATCTTTTGATCTTTTACTTATAAATTCTGTGTCTGATTCCACCTCTCCACTAACACCTGAAGAAGGAACAAGTCTCTGAAAACTTGTGTTTTCAAATAAACCTGTTGGACTATAACTTGGTGTCATGTGATCTCTGATTTTGTCTATGCAGAGGGACCTGGGTGTACTTGTGCATGAAACACAGAAGGTAGGTCTGCAGGTACAACAAGTAATTAGGAAGGCAAATGGAATTTTGTCCTTCATTGCTAAAGGGATTGAGATTAAAAGCAGAGAGGTTATGTTGCAGCTGTACAAGGTGCTGGTGAGGCCACACGTGGAGTACTGTGTGCAGTTTTGGCCTCCTTACTTGAGAAAGGATGTACTGGCACTGGAGGGGGTGCAAAGGAGGTTCACTAGGTTGATTCCGGAGTTGAGGGGGTTGGCTTATGAGGAGAGACTGAGTAGATTGGGATTATATTCATTGGAATTCGGAAGATTGAGGGGGGATCTTATAGAAACATATAAAATTATGAAGGGAATAGATAAGATAGAAGTACAGAGGATGTTTCCACTGGCAGGTGAAGCTAGGACAAGAGGGCATAGCCTCAAGATTAGAGGGAGCAGATTTAGGACTGAATTGAGAAGGAACTTCTTCACCCAGAGGGTTGTTAATCTATGGAATTCCTTGCCCAGTGAAGTAGTTGACGCTACTTCAGTAAAGGTTTTTAAAGATAAGGTAGATTTTTTTTTGAACAATAAAGGAATTAAGGGATATGGTGAGAACGCGGGTAAGTGGATCTGAGTCCACAAAAAGATCAGCCATGATCTTATTGAATGGCGGAGCAGGCTCGAAGGGCCGGACAGCCTACTCCTGCTCCTAGTTCTCATGTACCAGTCCAACACTGGCACCTCCACAGCTTGAGTACACGTGACAATAACATCTAAAATCTAAGTCAAATCTTGTACTAAAAGGCTTGGGCCCAAGATTGATGGGGTGAAATTGGTTGAGAGATTCACCTAGATTGGCTCAACACTTTCAAAAATGGCTGGCTGAGTGAAGTCCTAATTAAATACCCAGAGGTTTCTCAGGAAGGTCCAGGGATTATCAAAGGAGTCAAGGTTACCTTGCATGTTGACTAGGAAGCAATTCCATGATTCTGCAAAACCCACCCAGTGCCATTTGCCTTATGGGCAAAAGTACAGGCAGAAATCACAATGCTGGAAAGCAAAGGAATCATTTCTGAAGAAGGGTCCTGACCCGAAACGTCAGCTTTCCTACTCCTCTGATGCTGCCTGGCCTGCTGTGTTCCTCCAGCTCCACACTGTGTTATCTCTGACTCCAGCATCGGCATTCTTACTATCTCTGAATCATCCAACCAGTCCAGTTTGCAGAATGGAAAGGTCATACCGATGCCTGATGGGTTGTTTCACCTTTGTAGGAAGTTTAAACAAATGGTAAACCACTTTTCACAGCTGGATAAATACCCAATCCCTAACATAGAAGATTTAATGCAAAGTGACCGGGGCGGATTGGCGGGGGGAGGTGGGGTGTTACAGGGATGCTGCCCTTGATGAAGCTGGACATGAGCCTTGCAGTTAAATGAGAATTCCCAGACGTATGCTGCAATCCTGGCATCTTTGCATCAACTCTTTAAAAAAGTTCAGTCTTGGAAATGGTAACTTTCAAGGAAGTGAAGAAACAACGCTCATCCTCTAAGGTGTTGGCATACTATGATCCCAAGAAAGATCTGGTATTTACATGCGATCCTCTCCGTACGACATTGGGATAGTATTAGCTCATCAGACCAATGGAAAGCAACACCCAATAGGATATGTATTCAGACCTTTGGCTAATGCAAAGTATAAATATGCCCAGATAGAGAAGGGAGATTTGGTGGGGTCATATTTAGATTCAGGAAGTTCCACCAACATGGTTAAGGATGTATATTTGTAATAATATCAAACCATAATCCCCTAGACTGTTAGATCTATTTAAAGAGGACAAGGCAGAGCCGCTTATAGCTTCAGGTCAAATTCAGTAGTGGGTTTACATATTAAGTGGGTATAAATACAAGTTGGAACACCATCTGGGAGGCCAAGTAGCAAATGCTGATGCATTAATTTGCCTCCTGCTGGCAGACAGACTGCCGGTGGTACCACCACTGGAACAGTCTGTTAATGGTTTTAAATTTTCTGGACATCTTTCCAGTCACCACTGACAACATGAGACTCTGGACATAGGAAGATCTGATCCAAGCAAAACAAAATTTATTAGAGCTGGTGGTGATGCGGGAAACCAAAGGATTCCCTTAAGCAGAATTGAAAGCTTTTTGGACCCGGAGAAACCAGATCACAGTAAAGGATGGCATATTATTACGGGAAGCAAGAACTATCGTCCCAAGCAAAAGTCGATGCCAGAAACTGGCTGAACTCCACCAGGGTCATCCAGCAGTTTCTAAAATGTTTGTGAGAAGTTACGTCCGGAAGCAGACATAGCCACATTTGTGGAGAAGTGCCCAGAGTGCCAACAAGGGCAAAAATTACCACAGCAGCTCCCCCACATGCTGGATAAACCCTGTGCAGGTTCTTTCACAGGTTGAACGTGCTTAGTCATTGTGGATGCCCACTCAGAGTTGCTGGATGTGCATAGGGATGACGATAGAAAAATTGTGTGCCTCTTATGCAATACAGGGACGCCTGGAAACGTTGGCCACAGATAACTGGCCATGTTTACCATCAGGGAGTTTGAGTATTTCCTAAATTCAAATGGAATCAAACCATGGAAACCCTACAGTGGAACCCCTTCATGGAAACAGGCCCTTTGGCCTAACACGTCCACAATGACTCTCAGAGCATCCCACCCAGACCCATGCCCCTATAACCCAACTAACCTACATATCCCTGAACACTATGGACAACCTAGCTCGGCCAAACCACCTAACCACCACATCTTTGGACTGTGGGAGGAAACCGGAGCACCCAGAGGAAACCCACGCAGACACGGGGAGAATGTGCAAACTCCACACAGACAGTCGCCCAAGGGTGGAATTGAACCCGGGTCTCTGGCGCGGTGAGGCAGCAGTGCAAACCACTGAGCCACCGTGATGGTATTTGTCATACAAGGACAACTCCATAACATCCATCATCCAATGATCTGGCAGAAACAGCAATCCAAACTTTAAAGGTAGGCTTAAAGAAACAGCCTACACCTTCACTAGATACCAAACTGTCTCAGTTCCAATTTGATTATAGGACCACCCCTCATGCAACTACAGGGATAGCTCAAGCAGAGCTACCAATGGGAAGAAGACTTCACACCAGGTTAAATCTGATTTTCCCGGACCTGTGGTGGGGGGAATGGCATCAGGAACGCCAATGCCAGCCGCAAGACTCTGCTAAGAGAAAGAGACAGTTTATCTCAGGGAATGAAGTTTGGTGTAGGAACCACAGGAATGGCCCTGCATGGGTAACAGGCATGGTCAATGGGTGGTCAGGTCCAGTGATGTGTGAAGTTCGGGGAGGGGCGACGGTCCTGAACAAGCGCGTGGACCATGTGAATGTTGCAACCTCGCAAATGGTGTGGGAGCAAATTGTGGCTCCTCGATTGCCTTTCTGAATGTTCGGGAACCTGTGGATTCTCCCTCTCTGTCAAGCATTGAAGATTCCTCGGAATCTGAGATGGACATGATGGATGTTGCTGCCTTAACGACTTGCCACCTGAAGAAGAGAATGAATTTCTTCCAAGACACTCTGGGCACAAGAAGTGAGTTACTGACGCAGAGTTAGAGGAACCTGACATGGTGCTAAAAAGCCGCTGGAGTAGCTACAAGAAAAAAAGAACCGGCATATGTCCACGGACTCAGAGGGGGAGAGATATAGTGATTTTAATGAGGTCAGCCAGGTGAACGTCACAGAATGTGAGCTCCTTGATTGAGATTGTTAATCTGGTCTAATCAGGGAGCCCTGGCTGACAAATATAGACAAATAAAAGTGTCAGAGGTTCTGTTCACTCGGAGATCTGGCTCTGAGGAAGCTGAATCTGTGTTAAGGACTCTTCCATGTGTAAATAAAAGGTGACTTGGTCACTGGATACTAGCCTCTGTGGAGTTATTTCAGGATTGAATGGTGTATGGAGATGGCAGGAGAAGCAGAGTGTGTAAGAGGATGGGAATGACATAGGAGGCATGAAATCAATGGGATGCGTATGGTATAAGAGAGCTGGACTGGGGAGGATAGAATAGCACGGGAAGAGAATTTAAAGAAAAACTGTTGCAGTAAGGTAACTAAATTCATTGTAGAAGTTTTATAGGTCCCTGCCAGTCCAACCAGAACCTGCACTGATACCTTAGATTCCACAACACTTAACAGGCCAAAAGCACACTCCACACAACAACTGTGAAATGGTAAATTAAGCAATGGCTCTGGAAACAACCTGATGTTTCATGTTTTAACTAGCATTCATTAGTTCATCAATAAGCTGGCTACTAAAATGGTATCTTCAGCTGGCATCAGCTTCTGATGTAATTTCATGGAATTCAGTTATAAATATCAACTAGAGTAATATGATAATGTATAATAAACTTCCAAACTGTCATCTAAAGATTAGTAATGTGAAATCTACTTCATAAGTTTAACTCAATACTATAAAAATACAATAAGAAATTTACTAACCATTTTTCAGGTGTGAGGCTTCTGTATCCAAATCACATATTTTTGATTTCACTTTACTTTCAATTGTAATTATTCTGTTACTTAGTAAGTCATATTCAGTATTGAATTCTGAAATCTCTTGAACAAATTTTTCTCTTTCCTCAACAATTTTCTTTTTCTTCTTCTCCTGCACAAGAGAAAATATGCAGCCAGATACTTTTTAAAAAAAAAAGTGGAAAACAATTTACCACTATCTCCAAATCATCACGATTTTCTGATTTTAAATAACTATTTTGCTGCGTAAGATTTTTGGAATAAAATGGAGATAATTATTTTTCTTTGCTATGCTCTTCTGTGCTTCCCAGATATTAAGACAACAGTTCAATGTCAAAAGTACTGATAATACTGTTCTGGACATCAGGCGATGCAACTCACAATTTAAATAGTGAAATTTTATTTATCAACTTGCATGCATATTTTGCACCACACAGCAACAATTATTATTTTATCGGAATAATTCTCCATTTGCATCAAACACTCCAATATGTGTAATATTTTGACAGAGAAATCAACATGCTTCCTACCTGCTTTTTGATTATATGCTTGGAGGCGTAGAAGAGTTCAAAAAGATGAAACCCTTTGATTCTGACTCCAAACAAGTCAGACAATACCTCAAACCCCAACATATAACTTAATCTGATGATTTAGTGGAGAGCAAAATTCCACATAACATTCTGTAAGGATGAGTATGAATTGTATCACTGCTTTTATATTGGAACATTAATTCCCTGACATCACAACATATAGCTCCTCTGAAGTATTTGATGTTTAAATACAAATCTAAAGATAAAATTACAGAGGGACAGGAAAACATTACCACTGGTTCCCCTCAAAACCACACTCCCCAAAACCACACGACAAATGATAGAAAAATGGATTAAGACTTTAGGCAGAGCAAAGTAATAACTCGAGGGAAATTTGCTACTGAAAACATCAACATTGTTATCTCAACTACAGCTTTCAATAATTGACTTTGTGAAATAATCAATTAAATGATAGAATATTTTTGCTGATCCACCAGACTAAATTTGACTATTGCTGAAAAAAAAACACATTTTTGCCGCTTTTTTTCATCTCATCTGGACAATTTGCAAGAGTACCAATTTAGGGGAAAAACCAACATTTATACTGCAAAACAGAAGTATGCTGATTGGTTAGCAAATGGATGCTTTGGGTAGACGTGTTGATATGGAGAATGCACCAGCCATGTTGATTGACAGTTAACTGCCAGGTTTTGATTCCATTTTAACACAGACAGAATAACTCTGGTTAAGGTATTGCTCAGAGAACTGAACCTATTTTGACCAAACACATGTTTTATCAGTAATATACATGTTCTGTTTTACCAAGTGACTAGATTATAAATTGATAACCTAGCATGGATAGATCAAGCAAAGAATTCACATCACCGAGTAAAGCTCCCTATATTTAAAAGCTAACTCCCTATAATTAGTTTATGGACAAAATCCCAAATTGCTTTCCAAATTATGCAATATCCTCTTGCTTTATAAGCTAAAATGAAGTTCCTTTGTCTGCACACTCTAATACATCACATGCATGAAGATGGGGTTTCATCAAGGTCTGAGATTTCTAGGAAAATGAGGCATTACATCAGACCATCTGCAATATTTAGTTTGGGAAATTTGCTACACTATTAATTGACAGTGAATGTCAAGGCCATGGTAAAATAATGTGTCATGATGTTAAATCTAAACTTTTTAAATGCCGAAGTTAATTCCACATTATTAGAATTAATTACAAAATCTCAAACTGTGAGCAACAATACAAGAGAAGTAACTTGTACTTCAATGTGACAAAATTCCAGATAAGAAGTCAACAGCTTTGTAATCATAGGAAAATAGTTTGCATAGGCTTTGAAAAGTAGATTTTCCCGCCACCATCAAACCCCTCCACCATTAAAAAAAATCTTGAAAACACTTTTAGCTCTTTTGGTGAGATAGTCAGATAAGTATGGATGAATTGACAGAAAAGCCACATTTCTGAAGGGTGATGCTTTTCTGAGAGAAATATTTCTGGAATTGTCCAAAGAGGCACAAATGCGAAGGAAAAGCTATGAAAACTAAATGATGTATCTATGGCCTGAACGATCCTTTTCTGTATTGGCAATTTTTTGTGCTGAGATCTGTTTTACAGAAAATGGTTTATGTTCAACTCAAAGCAGATCCCACATTTTATTTACTTTATTGAAAGGAAAAATTAAAGGAATTTTCAGGATGCATGTTAATGATTTCTTGTAGAATGGAATTTGAGAAATGTTATTAATCTGATTATAGTGGTATTTAGATTTGAGAGTTGTTATGAATACCTAATTTTGTGATTCGTGTGTGTTTTATCGAGGTTTTGTTTTTAATTTTGGGAATTGAATTTTTTAACATAAGGTAAATGAGTGAGGAAAATTGGGTTTGAGAAGCTGCTAATTTTTAAAATTAATTCACAGAAAATGAGTGTACCTGGCTAGGCCTGCATTTATTGCCCATTAACAATTTCCCTAGAGAAGATCACGGTAACCTGCCTTCTTGAACCTTTGTGATCTATTGATGTCTGACAATCTTAACGTAATTAACCAATGTCTTTATTTCAGGTTATGAGGATATATTTGTATATGTAGAGAACACAAGTCATGTCTGACAAATTTAATTGAGTTATTTAATGAGGTGACACAGGTAATAGATGAAGGTAGTGCTGTGGATGTTGCTGTGGACGTTGCTGTGGACTTTTAAAAAACATTTGACATGGTGCCACATGGCAGATTGGTTAGTAAATTAGAAATGTTTGGAATTGATGGGTCCTTGGCAGCATGGATTTGAAGTTGGCTAAAAGATAGGAAACAGAGGGTAGGTATAGATGGGCATTTCTCAGATTGGAGATGATTTGAAAGTGGTGCTACCCAGGAATCAGTATTGGGACTCCTTGTCTTTCCTGATTAATATAAATGATTTGGAAATGGGTGTTGAGAGCAAAATCTGTAAATTTGCAGATGATACCAAGCCAGGGAGAATTTTGAGGGTGATTCTGAGTGACTTCAGAGGGGCATTGACAAGTTGGCCAAATGGGCCGACACCTGGCAAATGAGCTTCAATGCAGAGAAATATGAGGTATTGCATTTTGGTAGAAGAAACACAGTGAGACAATACAGGCTCAATTGTACAACTTTGAAGGGTTACAGGAGCAAAGAGACCATGGGGTTCATGTGCATGATTCTCTAAAGGTGAGCAGGCAAGTTGAAACAGTTGTTAAGGAGGCTTATGGAGCCTTACGTTTACAAATAGAGGCATAGAGGATAAAAGCAAGGAGGTAATGCTACGCCTCTATAAATCATTGGTCAGACCTTATTTGGAGTTGTGTTCAATTCTGGGCAACTTATTAAATGAAGGATATTAAAGTCCTGGACAGAGTTCAAAGGAGATTTACCAGAATGATACCAGGAACAAAGGATATTAGATACATGGAAAGATTTGAGAAATTGGGTTTAAACTCATTGGAGCAGAGAAGACTATGAGGCGAACTTACTGTGATACTCAAAATCATGAACAATTTTGACATGGTAAAAAAAATGACACACTGTTTCCACCAGTTGATGTGTCAGTAACTAGGGGTCACAATTTCAGGATTGCCAGCAAGAGAGCCAAGACTGAGATGAGGAGAAACTTCTTTACTCAGAGTTGTTAGGATTTCAAAATGTGTTGGAAGCAGATTCCATAGGAGGTTTCAAAAGATTGCTAAATATACATTTGGAGGTGATGAAATTAGAGGGCTATGGAGGTAGGGCTAAAGACTGAAACTAGCTGGGTAGCTCTTTCTGGGTCAGTACAGACACAATGGATTTTTCTATACTGTAAAATTCTATGATACTATAAATCTACCTATAAACATGGAGATGGAAGGTGCTACGAGTCAAAAAATCAAGAAACTCTATCTACCAAGAAAGCTGTGTTGGTTTCTCTCTTATCGACTGGCTTAGATCCAGCCTGAAATTTTTTGGCAGAGTATGGTCATCTAAAGGTGAAGTTTGGAAACAAACAAGGGAACATCCCAGCAGCTGAACAACTTGAGGCATTGATGTATCAGTTGAGAAAAAATAGTGAAAGTAGAAAAATGAGATTCCTATCATCAAAAAAGGAAGTCTAATTTTGTACAAAAAGTTTAAGTGACAAGATGAGAATCTCACTAGTAACTGGTGAGAGGTATATTTGCATGCATTAACATCTCATGATTACCTCATCACAGCTCATTTATATACAGTTTGCTATGTTGCCAAGCAATGGTGAGAACCAAGATGGCAACAATTCCTGACATGAAACTTTGGGCAGGTACCTGTTGACTCCAGCTCATTCCTTGGTACTCTGGGTCTCCAAATTGGCCAGCATTTCTTAACATCACAGGGCACAATCTACAAGCAGCAAAGTCATATCCTATACCATGATTGGAGAACTGTATTAAATGTATTGGACGTGCCTGGTTTGTCACAAAAATTGACTTGGTAAGGGGTATTAGCAAACTCTTAACCAAGAGAACTAAATAAATCTCATCTTTTGTGATACCAGATGGTGTTATCAGTGCAAAGTATGGAATGAAAAATACACCAGCAACATTTCAATGGTTTACCAATAAATTAATTGAAGAACATTTTAACTTTGCTGTTTACATCAACGATTTGGTTGTTTTTAGCCAAACTTGGGAAGATCATTTTAACCATTCAACTAATCTGTTTGATCGTCTACAAAAAGGCAATCTGGTTATAAACTTGTTTAAGAGTTAATTTCACAAGGCCAAGGCGGCTTATTTGGGCCATGCTGTGGGAGAAGGCCACGTGGCATTTACAGAAACAAATACTTGGGCTATTTTGAAATTCCCTGTGCCTTAAACAAAACTTGAAATATTACACTACACTGGCATGAGTGGTTTCTTTCTCAAATTTGTTCTGAACTTAGCACTGTTTTAGCACCCTGCACAAACTTGTTGAATGGGCGCAAGTGTCAAATTGTCTTTAAAAACTTAAAAGCTGTACCAATACTCGCTTCAATTTTAGCTGTGCCAAATTATGTAAAGCCATTCAAACTGGTTGTTGATGCCTGTCACATAGTGAGGAGGCTGTTTTACTGTAAG